TGCCAGCCTGTATATGACAGGACAAGATGTCTGTGTTGATGGCGGCGTTACCAAGTGGTAGTGATTCGTAGTTCTCGGAACGTAACCTACTCCGAGGCTTTCAGGGAGTTAAGATGCATAAAAGGCCAAAGATCGCTATTCTCTGTCTCTTTCTCTATCATATCTAAAGAGCATACAAATACGAGTTGCGTCGATGAATTATGACTTCATAAGCTTGTCTATCACAGAAGCCACGCCCAACAACTTCTCTTCCTCAAATCTGCGCGTGATGATCTGCAAGCCGATAGGATGTCCATGCATGGTCTCCGGATCGTACAATTTCCAATTCCAGGCGTCAACCTCATTTCGAGCCTGGTAGTCTGCCACGTCACAAGCTGCCGGATCCTGGGACACATCGACTTGCCCAGCGGGGAATGATAAGGCCGGATAATCCACAAAGTTCCAGACCTTGGTATATCCCACCCACCGACAAGTGCGATGGGGAACAGCCACATGAGGCATCGTGGGCATCAGGACAACATCCGCTATCCGGCCAGATCGGGAGCCTTTGGTCTCATTCCACTTCTTGTGATAGGTCTGCTGTGCGGCGATCTTGCGTCGGTTGAGTTGCCAGTACTCGTAGACTGAAATGGCTTTGCCTCGATTGACGAGAGCCTCGACGTGAGGAACGAATGGCTCACCGCCAGCCTCAACGTCTCGGCGGATGTCTTCACCACCGTCGGCTGTGTAGAACAAATCCTAGAGGCGACAGTTAGAGAGAACCATAAAAAAGGAGGGAGCCTCCCGGCTACTTGACGTAGGCGGAATGCTGAGAACTTACCATAATCTCAATGCATTCCTTATGTCCGGATGAATTCCACGGCACGATCTCATGGCCCGCAGACTCTAATTTGGATACTAGGCTCTTCAGGACTCGTTCAATCGGCGGATGCACCTTGATAACTCCGTCGTCGACGAGGACTCCTATCGTCAATGGTCTTTCTTGAATTTGTCGGTACTCGACCTCCTTCCATGGCATTGGGATGACTTTCGGATCCAGGAGCCATGGTTGCGCCTCGATCACGTTTTGCATCACCGATAACAGCGACGAGAGGCTCCGACACATTGGCCCAATAGCTGAGGGGACATGCTCTTGGCCTTCAGTCGAGACCGGGACGCCCATGTACGGTAGTCTGGAGCTCTATTTCGTCATGTAGGTTAGTCAATCCGGAGAGCAAACTATGGCTGTTGAGCATTGATACCACGCACCGTCGGCTTCAAACCCCATAGACCATTCAAGTGAGATGGAATTCTTATTGAACCTCCGATGTCCGTACCCCATCCAACCATCGACCCTTGGAGAGCAAGAAGGGCACCTTCTCCTCCCGTTGAGCCACCGGGAGTGTAAGCTGGATTGCGAGGGTTGGTGGTCAGACCCCACAGGGGACCTTCCGTTTCACACCACTACATACACCCTAACATGAGCGAAACAGTTTCCAAATCGTGCCATTTACCGGAATCGTGCTCACCATGATGCTCTGTGGAAGGTTCGTCTTTGCGATGATGACTGCACCCAGGCTCCTGAGGATCTGGACAATGACGGCATCACTGCTTGCGGGCTTAAAAGCTCTCCCAACGTATCCCAACGTTGTGTCGACACCGTTGACGTCGAATTGATCCTTCAACGTGACAGGAACACCATGAAGGGGTCCAAATAACTTTCCGTGTTGCTTGAAATACTGGTCCAGCCCCCCGGCCTGCTCCAAGGCGTCGTTGAAGAGTACTTCGGTCAAACAGTTCGTCTATCAGGATGATTAGCAGCGGAACATTCAAGGTTCCCAGCTTGGATCCGGACCTTTTGGTGTGCTTCTGCTGCTCTGGAGTGACATCAGTCATTCCCCCTTGTCTATCTTGACGTGCCAGTTAATCACCATACCTTAGAATATAACTTTTGGTGACGTCGAGCGCTGAGACCTTTTCATTTTCCAGCAGACTCGTCAAGCTTTCGATACTGTCAATCTCCGTGATAGCCTCTACATTGTTGCGTTCGCCATTAATCGTGCCCAAGTACGGCTTGATAAGCTGTTCTCGAATCTCGCACTTTCGCCGGACTACGTCCTGCCATGACTTGCTAGACATCTGGACTCTCGACGACCTGTCACCATAGACAGACCTAGGGAAGATGTGATTTCAAATGTCTTTCGCCTGCAGCACTGACTGGTACAAGCCTCGCCGTTGTTCGTGACATGCGCCGCGCATCCAAAGCCGGCGAGAAGAACTCGGACATCTGGCACGGAGTATGACGCTGCTTTTCAATTGGTGGATGTCCCTGCAGATGTTCGTTATCGGCCCTGCTGGTCAACGGCTTTCTTGCGCCTTAGCCGATTATCCCTCGGCCAGCGTGAACTGACCCTACATCCTCAAAGCAAAAGTGGGGTGGAGCCCCCCGGGTCGTTGGATCCGGTAATACCCAGTTTGCAAGGCCCCTATTAGACTCGCATTGATGCTCGCCCAGGACTGGCAGCCTTGGGGATCGTCCACTGCCAATGAAGCGGACTCGATCTCAGGTGTCGCCGACGACGGCTCCCGGCGCAGATAATGGGGGCTGTGATGCTCATATCAATGGGCCAGACGACGAAAATGTCGAAAATGTCATTATTGTGGGCGCTGGGCCGGCTGGGCTAATATTAGGGTGAGTTGCAAATTGTTCCCGGCTTTGGAATATCAGAACCTGTAGGCTGCATTGCCTTGGGCGGGAGCTTTGTGAATTCTGACTAGAAGATATTCAAGGTCGAACCTAGCTCGCTATGGCATCAAGTCCAAGATCGTTGATGATCGACCCGATAAGACTTCAACAGGGCGGGCAGATGGCCTGCAGCCAAAGACCATTGAAACTTTTCGACAACTGAGACTGGAAAGCTCCCTTCTCCAAAAGGGCGTAAAAATCTACGATATATGTTTCTGGGTACGGTTCCTTTCTGTTGATCCCATCAGCTGAGGGTGTCTGGACCCTGCTCTAACCAGGAAAGCGTGTATAGAGCTCGACCCCGACGCAATGTCTGCATCGAACCAGGCGAGAGATCCATTACCCCTCCAATCTGGATGTCAAGGACCCGTTCATTCTTCTCGTCCACCAAGGAATGGTGGAAGATATCTTCATTGAAGACATGAGGGAACGTGGCGTCGAAGTCACCCGAAGCTTGCCATTTCAGCACTACGTGGCCACCGGGAATCCTGACGCCCCAATCGAAGCGATTTGTCAAGACCGCAAGACTGGGCTCTCTCAGACACTGAGAACCAAGTACCTTGTTGGCTGCGACGGGGCACATTCCAATGTCCGGAAAAGCATCGCGGACGCCCAGATGGTCGGCGAGAGCAGTAACTCAAAATGGGGGGTTTTAGACGGTATGAATACTGCCACTTTGCCTTTCCGTGCAAGTCCCTAGGTACGTCCTAACACGAAAATACTATAGGGGTCATCGAGACCGATTTCCCCGATCTCTGGAGTAAAGTGGTCATCCATTCGGAGACCGCAGGCACGGTGCTCTGCATCCCGAGAGAACGAAGCATGACCAGACTCTACATCGAACTGGACCGCAATCTACAGGATACTGTGCCTCCCGAAGCCACACAGGACTATGTGATGCGAAAGGCTCGAGAGATCATGGCGCCGTTCACCGTGGAATGGACGAGCGTAGGTAAGTGGATCGAACAAACCACAAGGGCGTTTGAGCCTGTTTCGATCCTCACTAACTTCGCTCTCTGCCAGAGTGGTTCAGTGTCTACAAGGTTGGACAACGCGTAGCCAGCACATTCTCCGCCGAGCATGACCGGGTTTTCATCGCAGGAGATGTGAGTCGCCAGTGGTACCTGCTCCCGCCTTTGGTCCAGCGAGAAAGGGACCCAGAGGCTGTCTCAACTTCAAGCCGCTGACTGGACTCGATAGGCTGGCCACACGCATTCGCCCAAAGCCGCCCAAGGCATGAACACGTCCATGCACGACACCTTCAATCTAGCCTGGAAACTCAATCTCGCGATCCGTGGTCTCGCGCGCCCTGAGCTCCTGTCGACATATCAGCAGGAGCGTCGCAAAATAGCGCAAGACCTCATCGACTTCGACTTCGAACACGCGGCCGCCTTTGCCGACGGCGACTCGAAGGCCCTGGCCGCGAACTTCGCCACCAACGTCGGCTTCATCTCCGGCGCGGGCATCAAGTACGGTCCCAACGTCCTGAACTGCCCCGAGCAAATCCCCCACGGGGGAGTGTTGCGGGCGGGCGAATTGGTGGCGCCCGCCCGTGTGACGCGCTACATCGACGCCAACCCCGTCGACGTCCAGCTGGACATTCCAATGCTGGGGCAATTCCGCGTGTACTTTTTCGTGCCCGACATCCATGCTTCTTTACAGTTCCTGCGCTCGGTCTGCGACTGCATCTCCTCGGCGGAGTCGGTCCTCGGTCGAGCAACCGCGGCAGCCGCCAGGTCCTATGCGACGCTCAACCTGGGACCCGTGGAGGCGGATGAGTTCCTCCAGCCCGGTCGGTATACGTCTGTCTCGCGGCTGTTCACGTTCGCCACCGTGACCACGATGCCCAAGTCGGCCGTCGAGATTACCGATCTGCCTCCCTTGTTGCAGAAGAGCCGGTGGACGTTCTACGTGGATGACCTCTCAGACCACAAGACGGGCAGGTCATGCACGGAGAAATGGCTGGGGACGGTAAGACTAGACGAGGTGGCCATTGTCAATGTCAGACCTGACGGCTATGTGGGAAGTATTGGGCGGTTCGAGAGTAAGGGCAGCAACGGTGCTGCTGCTGCTTCGGACTGGCTAGATTCGTATTATGGCGGATTTTTGAAAAGATGATAGGACTGCGAATATCGACCTATTGCAACGGCAAGGCGCATTCGATTGTTACCTAGAAGGTTGGTGATACTTTGTGTGCGAGTGGTCGGTTGGAGGACGAAAGAGTAATACATAGTAGCTATCTTGTCATAGACTATTGAAATTGGACCAAACCCAACTACTTCAGAATCGCCTCGTACTCGTTGATCGTGCCCCGCCCTTGTATCAGGCCTCTGAGTACCTTCATCGCTTCGTGTACGACCGCCCAGCGAATGTTACTCAGATGCTTTGCGACCACCGCCGTGAGACCCGACGTAGGATACTTTCCCAGTGCACGCCAGATGTTCTGGGGCCCCGCGCTCGTCATACTGCTGACCAGCGCATTCATTTCGGCCTTGGCGTGCCAGACGTTGCCGTAGTCAACCATGTCATCGTCCGGACGAGGATGCACTCTCGGTTCATTCCTACCAGTGCCACAGCCAGTAGGATTATCGGCTGAGCTTGACGGCCCGAGTGGCGATATGTCGACTGTATTGGCGTAGTGGAAGGCCCAGCACGTCAGTGTCGACAGGTACAAGCACCAGGGATAATGAAATGTGTCACTGGCGTCCCAATTGTCGAGGTTCATAATTCCTTCTCGCAGCAGATTCGCGGCGTGCCAGGCCGCCATGGCCGCGGGTGTCGACCCTGCCGGTTTAGCCCAGTCCTTCACCACGCGGCGCGATCGTTCATAGTCGGTGCGGGTGACTGGCAGACCGAGGATATGGTTGGCGCCGGCATAGATCTGGAGGTCGAGGATCTCGACGTTGAGGGTGATGTGGGCGGCGTGGTAGATGGCGATTGTGGCGGTGCTGAAGCGGGTGAACTCGGCTTTCCTCTCCGGACTGTCGCTCAAGGAAAGAGACATGTTCATGCAATACGAATCAAAGTCGGCTTTCCAGGCGTCAAAGGACTGCGCAAGCCGATCTTGCCATCGCGTCTCGTCGGCGGACTGACTCAGGCTGACTACGCCTGCGTGAGAGGGTTAGTGAAATGCCCTTGGAGCATTGCGTCTCGAAAATAGATTGAATCAACTCACCCAGAGCAGTCTGGTCTCTACGTTTCAGGTCCCACTGGACCGACATGAGTCCGTGAAGGACAAGGAGGCGCGATAGTGCATTCAGTTGAGGCAGCTGCGTGTCAGAGTCTGGAGTCATATACGCTTTTAGGACCGACAGATAGGGAACCTGAGGATCCTTCCTGGCATATTTCCACCACTCCTCTGCCGAAGTGGCCTCCCATGCCGTTTGATTGCATGGAAGCGTTGTGCGAAGCTCGAACGACGACATGCACAACGACTGCGAGAATAAAACTGCATGTTGCGTGTCCCAAAGGAAGCAAAGGAAAGCCAGTCTGTTGCTTACATTAGTTGAGTGCGGCGTTGCTTGAGAAGGAATATTGAATCTCTTGCCTCTTCCGAAGCTCAACGTCAATTGCTTTCCGCCAGTTCGACTCAAGATCCCCTAGAGCATCGCTGAAGTTAGGCTGTCTTACTGTCTGGCAGTCGCTTCGCCGAATCAAGCTACCGGAGGTGTCAGCATAGGACGCATGGTCAACAAGCGAACCCACTAGCACTTACTTGATCAACAGTCCATGGAACAGGTGGGACATATCATGTTGCCTTTGACCAGCACGCGACTTCCCGAAGCATTCAACGAGAAGTATGGTCTGCAAAATCCACAATTCTGGAGTGGCGGAGAAAGAGGAATGCTGGAATATCTGTGCCCTTAGAATATCATGAATGCAGACTGCCAGGCGATGGATAGCTTTGTCGCTATACGTGGCCCCTAGTAGGAGTACAGATAACAAGAGTAGAGGTTCTGCTTGGGACGGATTGAAGGTGGGTTGATGCAAAAGAGGGTATGTGACATTGAATCGAGAGAAGAACAGCTCTAGATAGTTTTGCATGGCAGACAGGGACAACAGGGGGTGATCGTGCGTGATTTCCAGACCTTCTGGAGTTCTGAGCCGCGCGTTTATGAGTAGATCTAATAATCTGATGCGAGAACTGTCGTCCATGGCAGGCATCATCGTGCGAGGCTGTATCGGCGAGAAGCCCTGCGTATTTGTGTATGGAGTGGGCTCATCTGAATGGTGGGTCGATGGATATGCGATCGTGTGATTCTCCGTGGAAGCCCGCGATGTGGTCGATGGACGAGACATACCAATTTCGGGTGCAAGATTGCCTGCTAAATTTTGGTCCATTGGAGGAAAGGATGTAATGGTGGGCGCGACGGCTGATCCGGTAGAAGTCATGGAACTGGACTGAAATGCTTTTGCATTCCGGGAACCTTCCACGGAGCGCAGGTGTTGCAGTGAGGAATGCTGTGTGTAAGACTCCTCTGCCATGTCGTTGCTAGTCATCCTCCTACTGGAGCTGAATGTAGTAGGCACTGGCAATGGTTGAGCAGGTTTCCTTTGCATGTCATACGATTGATTCTCTTGTGAAGGTCTCTGAGATTCTGGCACGACGCTCGAGTTGAGCAGCATATTAGTTGAGATTGGTGAGCACGTCGCATCGCCAATGTCAAACAGCCAGTTGTAATTGTGCATTGTCGTGAAAGGCATGTTGAATGAACTCGCTTGGTGAATGTTAACATTGAGGTGGCTACAATACGGACTCCGCAACTGCACTCACCAGTGTCAGGATTGAACATATCACCAAAGGGCATATCGTCTGCGATATTGAGGGATGCGGCTGAAGTTAATCCCCAGGAGGAATTAGCCAGGAAGTCAAACATATTCGGGGCTACCGTGGAGTCCATAAAGTCTTCCTCATCCGGCAAATCTGGTAACTGGTGGGTGAGCTGCTCAAAAGATTCGACGCTCAGCATTGATTTTGGGGGCGATGGTGGCTCTGCGTGGAGTGCTTGGGAATTATAGCCCTCGGCAAATGCTGATTGATTGTGGTTGTTGGGATCTGTGGTCGACTTCTTCGCTGATACCTTGCATATTTCGCCTGGAGGTGGTCGTTTCTTGACGATGTTGCCATTGGCATCTTTCCAGAGCTTCTTTCTGCTCTCAATGATCCCAAACCCTTCACCACCAGCTTCTTCATCTCTCTGACGGTGTCGAACCATGTGTCTGTCTACGAGGACCGTGTCAATTCATTGGTTATCATTAAACAACCACCAACATGCACCATTACCTACCCAAAAGGTCGGGTCTTTTGAAGTGCAGACCACATCGGGGGCAAGTGCTCGAACCGTCGCCGTGGTTGAGCATGTGGCGCTGAAGATGATCAGACCTGGTAAACGCCTTCTCACAGCCCTCGTACGAGCACATGTACTTCTTAGGCCGGTTGCTGGATGTAGACGACATGGCAACGACGATTGTCGGCCCGGAGACAAGATGGCAACTTTCGGTTTGCATGAAATTAGGCTGATGAACGTGACCCTCTCTGAAGAGAGCGCAGAAGAGTCAGAAGACGGGGGTGGGGGTGCTAGCAAGATGTGGTGAGATGGTGCAGAAGCGCGGAAACGGCAGCTGCAGGGCAGCAGTTGTCGAGATAAGTACCAAACCCAGTAAGCGAGATACAGGTGGGTCCTAACAACACCCGGGTACGAAAGCCAGCTACTGTAACTACCTAGTAGTTAGACACATCCTGCCCAACGGGCTAAGCGAGCGACCATAGACTAATAACTGACAAGATGTCTCGCGACCACTTCTTTGGGAACTGAGCACATATTAGCTGGAACACGGACCTCGCGCGTACTATCGTTCAAGGCCGTCCATCCAGCCGGAATTGCTAGTCGTACGAGTATTATTGTTGACAAATGTTTTCTCTCAATCCTGTGGGCACTCGAACATCAAGGCTCTATGCAGAATCTGTTGACTATCTATGCCTACATAGAATCAATTGCTCCTGCTGTCTATGTCTTTGCTGCAATTCCCCTGATTGGAGGCCTGCAAGAGAAAGCGGAATACTAGTATTTCCTGAAGCAACTACTGATGCGGCCTTTGGACTATGCGGCAACGTCAATGTCCTTGTAATATGGATAATCAACATAGCCCTTGCTGGGCGGTTCGGCGCCGTAGAAAGTACTTCGATCGTAAGGATTCAACGGGAGTCCCTCTGCTAGTCTTCGAGGGAGGTCCGGGTTGGCAATGTAGTGTCGACCGAAGATGATTGCATCGGCCTCGCCTGACTCGATCTTTGGAACAGCATTTTCTGCATTGAAGTTCCCAGCGGCGACAAATTTGACCCCTCCATTCTCAAGTATCCTTCGGAAAGGCACCAGGGAAGGCTCGCTCTTCTTCGCAGGAGTGGTAGAAAGTGCCTCTCGGCAAGATTGTTGGAGTGCCAGCATCTTTCCAGTCTCGTCCAAGACTTCGTCGAATCTGGGCTCCACCATATGGACATATGCTGGGCGGTTGGCCTCTGGAAGCTCAACTATTCTCTCGCATAGGTACGCCCAGTGTTCGTTGGGGTTCGAGTCTCTGGTGTCCTGAAAGTAGTTGTACGGTGACAGTCTGATGCCGACTCTCTCTGCTCCAATGGCCAATGTCACCGCCTTGATGACTTCGAGCGGGAAACGGGATCTATTTTCCATGGAGCCACCGTACGAGTCCGTCCTAGTGTTGATATTGTCGTGCAAAAACTGGTCCAGGAGGTAGCCGTTGCCGCTGCAGAGAGTTAGCCATCGGCCACAGTGGTAGGACTGTAAGCAAGTTTACCCGTGGATCTCGACACCGTCAAATCCAGCTTCGATCGCACGGACGGCAGCGCTAGCGAAGTCTTGTACAATATCTTGGATTTCTTCGACGGTGAGAGGTATGGGGGGTGTTGAATCATAATCCGAGCCATCAAGCGCCTTGCCCGTTATAGGAATACCGCTGGAACTGACACAGTCACGGCCATCGAGAAATGAGGGCACCGTCGCACGGCCAACATGCCATAGCTGGCAGAAAATGAAGCCACCTTTCGCATGAATGGCTTCCGTGACCTTCTTCCATCCGGCTCCCTGACTCTGGGTGAATATACCTGGGACGCCGGGATAGCCGCAAGCCTGCACAAGGGTTAGAAGTCGTATAGGCGATTCTCTACTTCGGGAGACAAACATATCGACTGATCGGACAAGCCTCCGTGAGCTGGAAGCCACCCTGGCTTGCACGTTGCGAGTAGTATTCCACGTTGAGATCGCTCGGAACATAGATACCAGGAGATTCCGCCGGGGCTCGCATTCGAGTCAGCGGTGCCATCATCACTCGGTGTTCTAGATTCAGAGCACCCAGTTTCAGCGGCTTAAACAGCTGAGTGTCTTCGAGTGGCTTGAAGCCAGTGGGAGAGGTTCTTGAAGGCATCCTTCTCCTTTCTGTCGTTCTCAGCTCTCGCTGTGTGCGCCTTTGTGGCTGGGGAGCGTTCCAAAGAAATAGAGGAGCGGGCAACGACTCTCAGATGTGACTTTTTGTTTCAGTTGACGGATATCCGCATCGAGAAGAAAAGAGATATGTCACCCTGCAGGCCACGAACGGAGCCATGTTGTCCACTTGCTCAGGAGTGGGCAAAAGCGTTGCATTCGTTTGACCAGTTCTTCAGCCCAGGTGTACGCGCGAGGTAGCCGGACCCAAAATGATGCCCCTTATTCACCAAGGATGCCGCGAGTGCTAGATGCGGCGATGCGGATACATCATGCAGCCCAGCGTTAGGCGACCGAGGCGAACATGGCCAAGATCAAGAATGGGGGAAGAAGGGAAACATATTAGAGCAACAAATCAGCAGGCGCCGCACATATCCGACTGGCGTTCTCGCCTTATCATCCTCCTACTCGGCTATTGTATTCCGGCCCTCAATTCGGATGCCACGAGAACAAGTAATTCGAAGTTGATTGCATTGTTCTCTTAAGCCGCAAGTGGCATTTCGGAAAGGCTTTCGCGAAGTTCTCGTCATTAAGTGGGAACAAACGCACAGCGCGATTGGGCGATCAGTCGTGAAAATACCCCATAGGGCCTTTCCTCTCATCCGCCATCTTCTCTTCTTGACGCGTTATTTTCTAGTTTTGCGGGGTGAGCATGGATGAGGAGATGGAGTTATATGTAATATTTGTACTATTGATACTGTCCTATCTTTATGTTACGCAATGTACGAGAACTTCCTCCATCGAATTAAAGTCGTTTTCTCTAGAGCCTTTGCGCGAGAAGGTCACAAGGTCGTTTACACGGTAATTGGGGCTGGAGCAACCTGAAACTGCGGCGCGACCTCGATCGTCTCATAGGTAACCGGCATTTCAGCCTTGGGATACACACCCGCAAGACGCATACGGACATACTCGCCGTTGGTCATAGCCTTGTACTTCTTGGGACATTCGTCCGAGATACACGACGGGAGCGTCTCCATAACGGCATCGTAATTTGCTATTTTACAACATCAGCCCACGGCCATGGCTCAGAACAACAAGAAATGAGACAGGGAAAGGGAAGTCTTACCTCCAAAGAAGAAAGGAATCGAGTATCTTGTACGGGCTTCACGGTTCGCGGCTCGATGCAATGTCGAGACGAATAAATCGTTGGTCCACACAGACATAGCGTCCCCAATATTCACCACAAATGTGCCTGGGATGGGGTCGACGGGGATCCATGTCCCATTCTTCGACACTACTTCCAGCGATTTGTTGTCATCCTGGAGCAGGATAGTAAAGAGTTCGTAGTCCGTGTGCGGAGCGATCGAGGAGCGTATATCCGGTTTCTGTAGCTTGCCTGGGTAATGGTTTAAGGTCATGATGGTGCCGGGCTGTGTGCACAAGGCCTCGAAAAAGTCCTCATCGAGATCCAAACTCAGTGCAAACAACCGCAGCAGCGAGCGCGACAGCGAGAGCATCTGGCCCATGTACTTTTCCATGGCGCCGCGCCACCCAGGAAGCTTTTCCTCGGCAGGCCAGAAGTTATCTCCGTTGTTGTTGGGAGAGTGCGTTGGGCTGGGATCACAGCCTGGTTCGTACCCGATGTTGTAACCCTCCAGTAATTCTGCAAGACGTATTTAGTTAGCCATGGACTCCGATGCTTCTCTGGTGCACAGGGAATATCCATACTAGCACCTCCAACGATTGTCTCATCAAAATCAATCTTCTTATAGCCGTAGAACTCCTTGTTGTTGGTGATGTCGAGCTTTATCTTCTCCTCAAAAGGCAACTCGTGGAAGAAGCGTGCCGTTTCACGAAAACACATGTCAATGTCCTCCTGGGGCACGCCATGGTTGGAGATGTAGAAGAAGCCAGCCGTCACACAGACATCGTAGATCTTCTTGGCTACCACTCGTCGCACGTTGATGTCTGGGTGGCACATATCGGACAAGTCAATCACAGGGACTTCGGTGAAGGATCCTGCGTTCTGGGAGTCCTTGGCCGGCGAGACCTTGCGCCAGCCAATGCCAGTATTGATGATTTCTTCTTGGGCTGCCATTGTGCTCTCTCTATGCCTTCAAGCTTTTCGGGTCTTGTATTCGAGTATTGAATGATAAAGATGAGCGCCTGTCGATCGTAGATGCGGTTAGCGTGTCTAGCGTATGTACTTGCTATCTGCAGTATGTTCCTTCTACCTCCCATGTCGACCTAGCTACTCTCTCCTCTCCTTGATATATTCATTCATCAGCTCTTCCACAAGTGGGGGATTCGTGTGCTGCCACGAGTCAGGGTGGGGTGTCCTTTTGCATCGTTGCCCCTTATCACGAGTCTCCCGTTCAGCCTCGGCTTATCAAATGCGCCCGGACGCTTACTGAAGGAACAAGCACAAAGTCTAACCATCTTGACTCGTTCCACGGCCGAGAGATAAACATAACACAGAGCCAAGGCTTATCCTCGCTATCACAGCCGAGCCATTAGCCCAAAGTAAATGGTCGGTTCGAGGCTCCAACCAAGACTGCCATTCTGGTTAGTCTCCCAATTTTGGTCTACCCCGGGCCCACCGGATCCACTTCTCCACCACTCTGGCCCGTCTTCGGCTCGTCTGGCTCAACACTGGTAACTTTAACCGCAGCTATCCTGTCGCGATTCAGCCATCTGCCGCCCAGGCATGTCTCGCTTGTGTTCTGTCCAGCATGGTGTCCCACCTGTCCCTGCGTATAGGAAGTCCACGGTAGACAGCTGCCACCGAGGACTGGCGCTCGCTCATCTAGACAGTCCAGATTGTCTGGTCGATATCTCCTATCAATCATTGGGTTGGTATCCTTTCAGCCACACCCCACCCTTGAAGCGGCTTGTAGTGACCTATCATGTGTCTTGTCGGTTTCGGGAGCCTCTACATGCTTCCAAGACATGGACACTTGATAGCAAATACTCAAATGTAAGGCAAATGGTTGTATAAAGAAGACCCATCCATCAACCCCTTTTTTGCAAGGGCCAACAGCTCTGTTTAGTTTCCTCGGATTGGCAGTATCAGCACGATGAAGACAAACGTGGAATTTGGGAGTTGGAAGATGCCGACCAAGGCCGACCTCAAGGCTCGTGCGACGACCTTGAAGGCCTGGGAGTTGGAGAAACAGCCCTCAACGTTTGCTCCGGACGGAGTTTGGTCCAACAGAGGTATGTGGCATCAGCTGTCGACGAGATCTAGCCTCATTTTGTTTTCACAGACACGGACCCTCTGCCGATGGAGCGACGTACCTGGGGCTTTCTCACTTGGTTCGGATATTGGTGCTCGGATGGTCAGACCACCCTCTAGTGACGTCGCGCAGGGAATTGACTGTAAAACAGCCGTCAATGTCACCACCTGGCAAGCCGCGGGAACTGTGATTGCTTTGGGGTTGTCCTGGCGTGAGGTATGAGAGAGATTTGTGATCTTTCAGATTTTCCAGACTAACATTTCCAGGCCATTCCGACGTAAGTCGAAAACGGCCCCTGGTCGAAGGTCCAAACTGACTCTCCAGCGTCTTCGTGGGAAACACCCTCGTCGCGGTCCCGATCGTCTTGACAGGGTGGATCGGAGCCAAACACCACATCCCCTTCCCCGTCATCGCTCGCGCCAGCTTCGGATACTACTTCTCCTATTTTGCCGTCCTCTCCCGTGCCACTCTAGCCCTGTTCTGGTTCTCCGTCGTCTCGTACAGTGGCTCGCTCGCCATGCAGCAGATGATCAATGCCATCTGGCCTTCTTTCCGCGACCTCCACAATAGTCTTCCCGCAGGCGCTGGCAGTAAGTCAATTCTCCGGTTGAGGGACATTCTCTGATATCTATAGTCACATCCCAAGGACTCATCAGCTACTTTCTCTACTGGCTGATGCAATTCCCCTTTCTGATGATCAACCCCGAGAAACTTGGCTGGTTCTTCTTGTTCAAAGTCATCACGACCCCTCTCGTTGGTCTGGCCACCATGGGCTGGATCGTCCGTCAGGCTAATGGCGTGGGTGGACTGTGGAACGCCCGGCCCACAGTCTCGGGAGAACAGTTGACCTGGCTCTGGATCGCTGCGTGAGTCGTCAAGTACGGGAAGGCTTTAGACCGTGACTGACCCGCCGGTAGGATGAACGCAGCTGCTGCCGGAAATGCGACAATCGCCGTGAACAGCGCCGACTTCAGCCGCTATGCTCGAAAGCCCGGATACCAGTGGGTGCAGTTCCCTCTGGTGCCCGTCTTCTCCACCATTTTCGCCGTGCTTGGTCTCGTCTCTACCAACGCGGCGAAAGTGGTCTATGGCAGGGACGACATGTGGTCGCCCTTGGCCATCACGGACATGTGGAGGAGCCCTGGAGGTCGGGCGGCCGCTTTCTTTGCTTCTTTCTGCTGGACTATTTCACAGATTGGCACCAATATATCATGCGACACCATTTCGGCTGCGAACGACTTCACCACTTTGAAGCCAAAGTACATCAACATCCGTCGCGGAGTGATTTTTGTCTCGTTCATTGTAGGTCATTTTGTCTCGGGCTGGAGTACTGTCGCTAATGATTTCGCAGGGCGGCTGGGCGCTTGTGCCGTGGAAGCTGGTGTCGGCTGCGGCGGGATTCTTGAACTTCCTCTCGGCGTATGCTGTCTTCCTGGCTCCCATTTCTGGCATCATGGTTGGAGACTACTGGATTGTTCGACGACGTCAGATCGACATTCCGAGCCTGTACCGACCCCATGCTCGATACCGATACTGGGTAGGTGAAGTTTCCTCAAACGTTCGAACAGTACTGATTGTGACTGTAGAAAGGAATCAACTGGCGCGCGCTGTTGACTATGCTCATCATCGTTATTCCAAATCTTCCTGGTATCGCAAAGGCGGTGAACCAGGGAGTCAACCTGCCCGAGACCTCACTGAAATTCTACCGAGTAAGTCTGGAAGCCTTTTCTCTTTGTTCAGATTGTTGACTCGGTCACAGCTCAACTTCATCTGGGGCTGCTTCGGTGGCTGTCTCATCTATTCCGCCTTCCATTTCATTGTCCCGGCTAAGGAGACCTATATATCCAAGACCATCGAGACCGATGACGACGCATCGATTAATGATGTGACGACGGTCATTGTCGGTGTGCCTGCGGACAAAGGGATCGGATCGGACGCGGCCAGTCTCGAGGAGGGAAAGAAGTTGGCAGAGGTGTGAGATTCTGTAGTCGCGCCAGGCGATGTAGTGCAATAGATTGAACGAGAATAATGGCGCAGAGGGATGAGTTGAGTCGATGTCAGGCTGTAAACGACCGGAATCGACCAGGAGGCAAGACTTCAGTTAGAGTAAGTATAGTACACGAATGTAACTTTGGAACTATCCGCACCTCTGAGTACTAGGAATCGCCTGATAGTTCTAGGCATTATCTCCTATATTGCCTAATATTTGCCTAGTAATTGGTGAGATCGCCAGGCTTCTTGGCCTGGAATTGAAGCACCATTCCTGACGCTGCATCACCAGATGGATGACTTCGAAAACATAACTATACAGCCAGATTGACAAACTCTGTATTAGGAACTGCTGTCTCTCACAACGCTGGGTAGACACCTAAGTTTCAGTACGTTAATCAATCTAATTACCAGATAGGTGATTGACCGTTATCCGCCAAAGGCCTGGCGGGGAAAGGTGGAGGAATGGGTCCAAGATACGAGTTCACGCCCTTCGTCTCCAGTATGTCCCAAGTCACTCGATAAAACACGCAATCGCGTCGATAGGGCATTGGTGGGCAGATAAGCAATTTTCTCCACCCTCTGTATATCATCGCCGCATCTACGCGGCTCCTGAGAACTCAGATAGGTGTGCACATAAGCGCGTATACAATCACAGACAAGACTACAACCTTCGTGGGGGATATCTGACCAAACGGCCAGTAGTGTCTGCCTGGTCTATACATCCCTCTCCTCTTACTAGTGTTCATTTCTTCCCGATATTAGATATTGGTGTTCCAAGGATGGGGGATCTTGTATAAGCGGCTATCATCCACTTCTCTCTACTGGTTACCTGTACGACTATAGCGCTGATACACGAAAAAGTGGGAGATCCCTGAATACCTAAGGATATTCTTGCTGGCTTTTATCGACTTATTCGATAAGCGTTCGCCGAAGTAATTGACTGTTGCCTAAGGAATATCCCTTCCACCCACATGGAAACCCCAACTTTCGCCCAGTTAGGAGACTTCCAGGTCCAAGGGTACATCAATCCCCATACTCAAGTGGCCAACTTTCTGGGCATCCAATATGCAACTATCCCTGCTCGATTCCGGCAGGCACAACTCGTTGACACGGCCAATATCGCCGTAGAAGGAAGTCTCAATGCCACCCAGTACGGTCCACGCTGTCCCCAGACTGACCGTCGAACTCGCGGTGACGAGCATCTATTCGGAGAGCTTCCTCGCAGCTTCGACTTTCCGAAGGATGAGTTTGGCTGCTTGAGGCTCAATGTATACACCCCAAGAGACATCCCCGCCGGGAAGCTGCTACCGGTTCTCGTCTGGATCCATGGCGGTGGATTCACTTTTGGGGACGGCGGTGCTGACTTCGACGGTAACTATCTGGTGCAGCATTCGGTTCTCTCGGGAAGGCCCATCGTCTACGTCGGCATAAACTACCGTTTGGGGTATTTGGGGTTCTTAACATCAAAAGAGCTCCAGGCCGAAGCTGCCAGCAATGGGGAGGCGGGTTTTGCCAACATGGGACTCTATGATCAACGGCTCGCACTTGAATGGGTATGTATGCAACCATGCCGTACGACATTCTTGTACTGAGACATTGCAGATTCGGAAGTATATCCACCATTTCGGAGGCGATGCCTCCAACATCACTCTAGCAGGCGAATCCGCCGGTGCATGGTGTGTTCTCGCGCACCTACGATCCAATGTGCCGGTATGTAAAAGAGGGTTCGTCATGTCTTGTCCAGACGTGGACTTTCCCCGACCGGAGGAATCGCAGGCAATTTTTGATCAGCTAGCCACCCGTGCAGGGGTTTCTGCAACCGCCTCGGGCGCGGAGAAGTTAACAGCGCTAAGAGGCTTGCCGGTGGAGGAACTCGATCGACTTCTCGCCGGTCAGATGGCAACCCCGTTGTGGGATGAATCTTGGTTCATCTATCATGAAGGGCGGCAACCGGTCGCTGGGCCAGCGCCATTCGCTCCATGGGTCTCGGGCATCGTCGCAGGACACACAAAAGATGAAGTCGCTCCGTGGATAATGCGATCGCGAGCCTGGGGGTATGAGCAATACAGAGAGCGGATCCACGAGGCCGCTCCTGACGAGCCAACAACGACGAAACTCTTGACCGTATACGGGATTGCTGCGGACGCGTCCCCGATGGCCAATTTCAAAGCTTACTCCGACATGGCCACAGATGCCTTCTTTTCGCACCTGACTCTAATGCTTGCCCGCGATCCTAGTACCTCTGTTAGTCTATATCGGTTCGACCAGGGTGATACACTCTCCCAGGGCTCACTGAGAGGTTTGGCGTATCATGCTCTCGATAACGCCTTCTTCTTGCGACTGCCATCAGTAGCAGGGGCCGAGGCCGACTGCAATTTTCAAGAAACGGCCGATCTGTTCTCCAACTCGGTACTCGAATTTGCCTATGGGTCACAACCGTGGGAAGAGTACCACCAGCAGAACAGGATCATGGTCTTCAATGGGAAGGAGAGTAAGCTGGTCGAATCCCCAGCTCCAACCCGGTGGACACGTATCATCGAAGATGCCAGATCGGCGCTGGGCGCAGCGGCATGGAGAGCAGCGCTGAAGCTCGTTGGACTCCATCATAGCTCCATAAATTGAACCTAAACGTGCCTAAGCCCTTCATGCAAGTCGTCCATATCATCGACCAGCTGGCTAGATCTTCCTGTGGTGTGTGAATCATCAGCAAACAAGTTCAAGGGAGGACTAGCTAGGTTTGTCAGAGGCACTCATGCAACAGATGCTGGAAGACCCCAAATATTTCTCAGCACAGAATGACCATTTCGATGTCTTCCATATTCAGGGCTCTATCATAGAATTACCTTCAAGGAAAGTAGTGCGCTTCTATGTCTGCCAGCAACTTAGGTTGTCCAGAGCCCGTGGGATCCCAGCCGAGCTCTCTCTGCGTCTTCTCGCTCGATGCAGGATTGTCCGCCCCGAACACCAAGGCCAGAAAGCCAAGGGTCTTCATAGCCTCCTCAACAGTCTTGCTTTCCACTGGCGCCTGCAGCTTCTGGCCAACAATATTCGCTATCTCCTTCATTGGAACACCTTGCTCGGCGACGGCGTGGTAGGATCCACCTGAGGCACCCTTCTCAAGCGCCAGGCGGAATAGGACGGCTGCGTCCTGACGGTGAACGGCGCACCAGCGGTTGGATCCATCGCCCACAATGCTGACCGAGCTGGTCTGTCGCGCGACGTCGATGAAGCGAGGAATGAGTCCTTTGTCATCTTTCCCGTGGACTGTGGGTGGCAGCCGCACGATCGAGCCGCGGATCCCTTTCTCCTTTGACAGTTTCACAACAAGGTCCGCCGACTCCTGCCTCATTGCGAATGGTGTCCCACGCTCAGGCTCAGAGTCTTCTGTGGCAAGCTGTCCTTTCACTCCTAGCATTGTGCCCGAAGCGATGACAAGGGGCTTTCCCGTACCCGCTATGGCGTCAGCCATGGCCTCAATTGCCGCCCGATCGACTGCCGCGGCTTTGGCATAGTCACTGAAGTCGTGTATCTACAGCCCGTGGTTAGCAAGTGTTGGAAAATGTGCTCGGTCTTGTGCCGTAGCGTCTCCCACGAGAAGAGGTCTCTTACGAATGCAAGGTGAATGACGCCGTCAGCTTTCTCCGCACCGCTCTTCAGACTCTCCAGATCTTCGAGGTCGCCCCGGTGGACCTGTGCACCGAGCTTGGAGATTGTATCTGCAGATGCATCGCTTCGTGCGAGTCCCAGCACCTCGTGGCCGTGATCCAGGAGTTCTTTGATGGTTGCACGACCGATGAACCCAGGAGCACCGGTCAGAAACACAAGCATTTTTGCTGGAGTAGGGCGGTGATGGTTTGAGAGAGATCTTTTATGTTCTGGCAGAGGGGCTTCCAAAGGGACAGACTCAGAGGACTGATGATGGACAACTTCAAGACTGGACGCCCCTACGGATCACCAGAGTCATTTATATTTTGGCCGGCCACTGCCATGAACAGCAGAATAGCACTGAGCATGCACAACTCGGATTTAGAATGCTCATCTTGCCCTAACAAGGGGCCCATCACGGCGCGTAGCTTTCTAAGTCCGAGCAAACCGCCTGGATGATGACTCTGTGGTTGTTCGACGACGTGATGGAGACGGAGATGGCGATGGAGGTGAGTGGTGTTCGGATGGTCCCGTTCAACCCCGGAGGGTCAGAATGAGACGCTAACCACGACTCGTATTTCTTGGGGCAATGAATGGGTGCGATACAACATTGGGGGCCAGGAACGGAACTTTCGAGGCCCGAGTCCGACTGGCAGTCGTTTTGATTGTTGGTCCGACCCAGACGTGTTTCTCAGCCTGTCACGAAGCCATTCGAGTACAAAGTGGGCCTAATTTGGACAGACTGGGTCAATAGGCAACATTCGATCCGAAGCAAAGTACAGAGTAATGAAGTGTCAGCCCTGATCCTAAGCATTATCTGACATCCCTCGTGCAGATTTGCACATCAAATTAGACGGCTTAGACTGCTATGCGTGGTGCGCCTCTCCTTCGGGAGATCGATGTACGGGATTCAGCACTTAGTACTCTCTGGCCTGCATTCCATCCAAGAGAGCAACAGACATTGAAGTATATCTTTTCTACTTCACTCCATATTTACATGCTTCCGGCCTTCCATGCCCGATAGCACAAAGCATCATTGAAGGATGATGAATCTGGAGTCTGAAGTCAGCCTTTCCACACCACGCCCCCCATTGCACATTTAAACCCTTTGTCTCATATTACGAGACACCCACAGTCTTGTGCCGACAAACATCAGGCCTGACACCGCCATGCAGACACCCGTGAACACTTGCATCGGCACGTAATTAGTGCCTTCAGCGTTTTCAAGAAGCCGTCCGCCGATAGGTCCGCCACCAAGGACAGCAAAAGAAATGGCGCTGATGCAAAGTCCTAGAGAGAAAACCCTTAGATGTGCACACAGGATGACTGTAAGTAAATGGCTTACCATTCCATGTGCCGATCACTTCCGGCGAGGGTGCCAGCAGAGATACACACGGAGAGAAGATGGCCTGGAGCGCTCCGGAAAGAACACCATATACCACGGTCCACACGATGACGCCCGCTGGAGTGCGCGCTCCTATCCAGGCAAAGGCGACAACGGCCGATGCAAACGTTGTTACGATCAGAGAGTCGAAGAATCCCAAACCAGCGTCCGCTACGATACCCAAAGCGTAGCATCCAAAGAAGCCGCCGGCGTTCAGGATCGATGCAAGATAAAACGCTCCTCTTGCCGACGATCCATACTGATAGCCGTATAAAGCAATATAGATCTGGAAGTGGATCAGTTTGTGCTCAGGGCCAACCGGGTGGAGATGCCTCACGTAGGGCATATATATCCCAAGGTACATGATGAATGTCGCAAGGGTGAATAACAATGTCCGCTTATCAGTGAAGAAGGTCTTAGTTTTGATGGGTTCGCGTGGCATATCATGTGGGAATCGTGGCTGGATTAGGAGTACTGCTGCCACCATCAAGGCAAGCTGCAAGAATCCAATGGTCCGTAGAGTCCACCCAAACGAGATTCCATGATAGTTGACGAATTGATCCACTAAGATTGCCCAGATGACGCCTATCCGCGGGAGGCAGTGACGTTAGCGAACGGATACCGTCACGTAAAAGTACTCGAAACACGTACCTCCAACGTTCTGGCCTGACATGACCAAGCCGACGACAAAGCCTCTTCTCTTGAGGAACCATTGCGACTGTATGGCTAGAGCCGGTGTAAAGGCGAAACCAATCCCTAGTGCTGAGCAGAGGCCCTGAGACAGAATAAATTGATAGTACTTGGTTGACACTGACGCCGTCATCGTGCCTAGGATCATGAAGAAGGAACCGAAGGCCATTGGGATCTTAGGCCCATATCTGTCAGAAAGGCGACCGGCCCACATTCCGAAGAAGAAGCATCCCCATGTCTGTAGACTAGCGATCCAAGCAATGTCATCAGCCGAATATCCACTCAACACGACCGTACTGTAGTAGCTCTGGAAAACTGAGAAGCCAGTCAAAACACCAATGCCTGCGATGAATGACAGCCAGCCCCCGAGAACAGTCATCCAGGCTTTATATCCGCCGTCTGGAAAGGTCTGGTCGCTGCTGTTGATGGAAGGGATTACCATTGCTGCGACGGGCTCCTGGGATCCCTCGTGGCTCGTGTTCAACTCGAGGTCGCATTTCGAGACGACAGGGCTTTTCTTCTCGCCATCTCGTTCGGCGTATAATGACATCTTGGTCGCTATATCGAGGCAATGGTGAATGCTCCATCCTATATGAACGTCTGGTGATCTTGCTGGTATTTGTATTGTCCGCGTCTGCTATGTTTCTGCCGCGCGATAGACAACTGAGTTGAGCTGAATGCTTCAGGCTGTTGCGGAAGCCAGGAGATTGGGAGCCGCGGCACCGGTGAAGCCGCCAGCCAGGATTTGGGTTTAGTTTCTTGCCTTTTGGAGACTGGGTTATTGCCCTAACCTGATTAGGAAGGTTATCCGGCTAGTTTTTACACGCCGGCAAGTCAAACTGCCGTGCGACCGTTCCCACTAGATAGAACAATCAATCAATTCATCAAGTTAGTTCTACAGGTTATGAGCGCCTAAACGCTTGATTGCGCGTTACTCAAGCGTCGTTTGGTTCATCCTAGGTCATCCTTTCCTGGCTATCTAGCAGGAATAACCTATCCTTCGTTCTGCGGGTTGTGTTGTTGGTTATGCAGCAACGGTGTTCTGGTTGGAACCGTGCAGGCAGTCAAACCAACAACAAATCGCGCCCACCAATCTCAGGCGATTCTATCACGGATCGGCCTGTTAATCCCTCTGTCATTGGACAGACTAACACCGCGGGGTGCGTGGCTGTGCCTGGATCGCCGAATTAGCCTCTGGCAGAGCGTCAACCGAGCGCTAATCGGCCACAATCGGAAAATTCCTACCAATCCTCGATTACAGCCCCTACCTAGCCTATCCTACCACGAATTCCTAAGCAAATTAAAGCAGAAAAGGTGGAACAATAGGTAACATAGGGAGGTCTAATAATCGCAAGAATCGCTTGATCCTCCAAGGTAAGTCCAATTACGCAGTCTAGTTGCTAGCCTATGAGATGGAACTCCACGCTTAGGAGTGCTATACTGCGATCTCGCGACCGGTAGTTATGAATCCAGAGACACTAGATACCAAAGCAAAAGTAAAAGTAACGTCGGATTTCCTAGTGCGTAAGCAACTACGACCTGAAAAGGGTTTTGATATCCCTACGCTTAACGCGAACTATGATCAATGGCTTAGTCAAGAGATTGAGAGATTTGAGAAATGGGAGATAGTGAACTTAAAGGCACAGGGGGTGATCTACAATCTCTGTGCTAATCACGTCAAACCACTCATTGTATATAAGAAGACCGTAAAGGATATTCTTGTAAAGCTAAAATAGGCTTACGAATAGTAAGGCCTCGCGGTAGTCTATTGACAGACGATACTGGTCAACAGTTACCTATCTAAACAGTTCGCAACACTGGAAGAATACGTCAATAAACTACGCGCCAATCGATCAGGTTTTGAGGCACTTGGACACAATTTCAATGACGATTTCTGGGTGTCTATCTTTCTCAATGGATTGGGCGAAGATTATGAACTGGTGGTCTCACAGATCCTCGACACAGAGAAGGGCAAGATAGTCTTCGATGAAGCGGTGCAGAAGGTCTTTCAGTATGATTTGCGTAAGGCAGCGTAATCGACAGGTAACAATTAGGCCAATTAGGCCAATGCTTTTAAGGCTTAAGGCTAGTTAAGTGGTAATAATAATAAACGCGGTAACAAGTCTAATAGCAATGCTAATAATGGTCAAAATAAGAATAAGGACTCAGAGAAATGGGCCTGTCGAACACATAAGATAAACGACCATAAATGGAAGAATTGCAGATCGAATCCTGATCGTGTTGATAACGACTAACTAAGTAAGGATAAGGGTAAGGAAAAGGTAACTATTAACGCTTCGATTGCCGACTAGATTACTCCTAAGATACTTAGGTTCCTTAAGAAGAATACGACTTCTAGAGATTCTAGCGAAGATGGGGGGGCATCGGCTAATCGAGCCTATTTCTATTTAATCGCTACGTCTGAGATCGCTGTTTATGGTGCTAAGGAAAAGGGCTTCCTGATCGACAGTGGAGTCTCCCACCACATGACCTATTCCAGGACGAATTTCATCAACTTTCGTAAAGGATCGATGACTACTAGATTAGTAGATCACAGCGAGATTGAGGCTGAGGGCTATGGCGACATGATCATCGATTACAACCTTAATGGCGTCACAGTGCCTATTCGATTCGATAACGTCTGGTACTTCCCTAATCTAGGTGTTAATCTCTTGAGTATCTACGCGCTTAAGGAATAGGAAATGGTCGCTATTCTTGAACGCGTTCCTGGCCTTACTAATATAGGTCTATATAAGGGCAATAAGAGAATTATAAGTGTGCTAAAGGAGGGACGACGTTACCTACTGGGCATAAAGGACAATGTCTCGCCTCTTGTTGAGATTTATCGCGAGGACTCAATTTCAGTATTATCTGTCTGAGGTGGTGAAACGGCTAGGCTATGGCATAGACGGATGGGCCACCTATCGCCTGACTATCTCAATCGACTCAAGAAGGTTACCGACGGCGTCGATTTCACAGATTCATTTAGAAAACCCTGCGAAGACTGTATCCTTACTAACTAACCTCGTGCTCCGCGTAAGGGTATAACCAGCGGCTTATTAACTAGACTAAATCAATTGATTCATACCGATCTCGCTGGGCCGATAACTCCTGCTTCGATCAATGGCAGCAAGTATGTGATGACGATCACAGACGACTATTCCAGACGAGTAGTCCTTTATTTCCTCAAGAATAAGTCTAAGGCGTCACACTAGATGAAGTATTACGTCAATCTTACGACGAACACTAGTATGCCTATGGCATTTGTTCATGTTGACAACGGTGGTGAATATGAGGGTTCTACATTGCTCAGCTATCTCAGAGAGGCTGGGATCTATCAAGAGGCAACGGTTCCTTATAGCCCTGAGTCTAATGGTGTTGCAGAACGACTCAATCGAACGCTTACGAGCAAAATGAGGTCTATGCGGAAGGACTCAGGCTTACCAGAGGTCTTATGGGAGAACCTGTTGCAAACTGCCGCTTATTTGCATAATCGCAGTCCTAATAGATCTATTGGTTAGATAACGCCATTCGAACGATTCAATGGTAAACGTCCTAATCTGAGTCATCTACGAATCGTTGGATCGCGCGTTTACGTTCATATGCTAAAGGAGAAGCGTCAGGGTAAGTTTGCTGATAGATCCAAGGCTTATATCATACTTAGCTACGGTAACTCGCCTTCCATCTACTGGGTTTACGATCCTGTTGATCGCAGAGTGTTTCGATCAAAGGATGTGGTGTTTGATGAAGATAACTGTCGCTGTCTCGCGCCAATTGAGACAATGGACGAATTCGACAGCGATGAAGACATCCAGGATGCGCCACTGGTTGATTACTCAGGATTTATGAGGGAAGAGCCATTGGATCTACCACAGTCTCGTGTGGAACAAGATCAGGCTGTGATTGATCTGGAACAGGAAGATGCTATTCAAGCGCCTCGACTACCTAATCTTCTGGGTGCGATGCCGCCTGTTCAGCCATTGGCGCCAACACTACGTCGAAGTGGTAGGGTCGTCAAGCCAACGCACAAGGCTAAGGAAATGGCAGATCAAATGGCTAGCAGGGCAGTCTGGATGCATCTCGACATGGCGGCGATAACTGGGCACAAGGTTGTGTCCTATAGCCAGGCCATGAAGGGGCCAGATCGTGAACGCTGGAAACATACAATTGAACAGCAATATCAGGCCTATCTGGACAATGGGACTTGGTCAGTGGTGCCGATTCAGCCTGGATCGAACGTTCTCACAGGCCATTGGGTACTAGTTGAGAAACCAGATCGATTCAAGGCTAGGTGGGTCGTCCATGGCAACAAACAGGTTCGTGGCGTCGACTACCACGAGGTTTATGCGTCGACTGCGAGATCAGGATCGATTCGACTACTCCTTGCGATCGCTTGCATTGAAGATCTTGAGTCTGCGCAACTGGACGTGGTTGACGCGTTCCTCAACTCAGGTCTTGCAGAGAAGGTTTATATGCAACATCCTACTGGTTTTGGTGGAAAAGGCACTTGTTGTCTACTCCTCAAAGCGCTATTCGGTCTTTGTCAATCGCCGCGTGAATGGTGGCTGGATATCTCGCGCAAGTTGGCCTTGATGGGCTTCCGGAGATGCCAGGGCGATCAATCTGTGTTTGTTAATCCACAGGGTGTGGTCATCATTCTGTACGTGGACGATCTCGCTCTATTTGCTGCAGACGAAAAGGCAATCGAGAAGGCAAAGACTGAATTACTAGCGTCTTACAAGCTGAGAGACCTTGGAGATTTGCAGGCATTTGTTGGTATTCAGGTCCTGCGTCTGCCAGGCAAGGTCTTCATTTATCAACAGGACTATTGCAACGTGATCCTGGAGCGATTTGGCTACCAGGACAGCAGATCCGTGAAGACACCGTTTGACGACAAGGTCGTTTTGGTTCCACGACAAGATCAGTGTCCACAGGCGACATTGAAGCGTTTTCAAGAGATGAATGGTTCGGTTGCCTGGTTGGCGAATCAGACTAGGCCAGATATCGCCTATGCTCACTCGAAGATCGCACAGTTCAACGCTAATCCTTCTGATGTTGCGGTCGAGTGCATGAATCATCTATTCAGATACCTGGCAGGAACGAGATCCTGGGGCATTCTCTACGAAAAGGACACTGAGAACGACGAGATCGTTGGCCACTCGGATAGCAATTGGGGCGATAAACACTCAGTTGATACTAAGTCGACATCAGGCTATTTGTTTACGCTTGCAAACGGACCAATTGCGTGGTCATCAAGAAAGCAGAGAACGACGGCGACGTCCTCAACTGAGGCGGAATACATTGGCCAGTGCAATGCCACCAAAGAGGCAGTTTATCTGAGGCAGTTTATGAAGGAACTAGGTCGCGAACAGTGTGTTGCGACGACTGTTTACGGAGACAACCAGGCAGCGCTAGCCATGGCGCAAACACCATCGACGCATGGCAGGACTAGACACGTCGAATTTCAGTACCATTACACACGCGAAAAGGTCGCAGATGGAACAGTGGCGTTCTCGTTCGTACCAACAACGGAGATGGCTGCAGATGGGCTAACTAAGCCATTGAATCCTGTTATGTTTGACAAGTTCAGGCAGATGATTGGGATGACGACTCTGGAACGAGTAACGAACGCGAACTGACGAGGATAGAAGCGACAACGAGGTTGCGAGCGAATCACGAACGAGATCGATCGACAGCGACGTCAATGGGGCGATCGACGAACAGATCGATTGACAGAACGATCGATTTACAGCATCAAAAGGTGAATAGTTAACGGGCACTGTTATGGTTACAGCAGGCCAAATCACAGCGCGAAGTGTCATTGAGTTGCCAGGGTTAGACGGGCCAATCAGATCGCGTGGATCAGGACAGGCCAGGACGCTTTGCAAAACAGGCGTTCCTGCGACCTAGTTATCAGGCAAAAGTTCAGTGTTTTACGTGGTTTACTCATGTTTTCGCCTAGTAAATTTGGCTGTGAACGCCATCGAGCGACACACGCCACTACAGGCTAAACATCGATGCCACAGCGGATTTTTTCATTTTACGGCAGATTTCGTGCCTTGTGTGGGGGGGTATTGCCCTAACCTGATTAGGAAGGTTATCCGGCTAGTTTTTACACGCCGGCAAGTCAAACTGCCGTGCGACCGTTCCCACTAGATAGAACAATCAATCAATTCATCAAGTTAGTTCTACATGGGTTGTTCCCTACCCCGCTATGTACATCTACATCTCGCTTACAGGAAGAGCTCGAGATGGAGCATTACATATCGACCAGTTGTACACGCGTCGGTTGGAGTCTGGCTGCACCTGTGGGACGATTCCGCGAACTTGTGGGCATCAAAGCGCAGGCCAATATGAAGCTCTTAAGGTTGTTACTCTGGTCGATCTTGACCAAGCCACCAAGGAGGTCGTCCACCGCGGGCACCACCGTCGAGGGTCAATCCAGGTTGAACTAGCCTTTGTCTGTGCCGATAGACCCCGGTAACTGAGTGGCAAAAAGCCGCTATCCCCGTCTATCGATCCAGCCACCTATGGTCCCTTCGGCACCCCGATCGCAAGAGAATCCTGTGTTCTTACATTGTTGCACACAGCGCCCCTCCATCTGTCTCTGCAAGTGACATACTTTCTCTTCGGTATAACAGGAATTCCAGCAGTCAAAAAGACTTCATGCCGTAAGGTCAAGAGACTCGGGAGTGACATGTCCATCTTATCTTCTGTAGATGGAGTTGTACAAAACTTGGATGGTGTTTGCGATCCCGAAGCCAACTTTTGCGCTATGGCAGTCTCTCCAATCTTCGATAATCACCTGAACGAGATATATCATACAAGTTGTCAGAAGAAGTGTAATGGAATCTATACTTCGACAAATGACGATGGCGCCTGGTGGAACGTTATTGATTCTTTGACCGACAAAGCAGTGCAGCCACAGCTCGATTTTGACGAGCAAGATTGGGCTGGCATTCTTCCTCCTTCCATCGATCGACTCTCCTCCTTTATCGCGCCAGAAAACAATGACATAGAGACGGGCGCTCTATAT